TATATATATATATATATATATAAATTAGGTTTTCTGCATAGCACCATGAACACAATGTAAACAAATACAGTACTGTATACCTGTTATATATATATAAATATATACTTTAGCTACCTTCCCGGCATATCAACATACGGGTCTATTCATCACTAATATTATGTTCATTTATTGTCATGAATTTTTTGTCTTCAGGTCACAAAAGTTACTTTACAGTACACCTGATCCTGGTGAAGCCAAAGAGCCTCATTAGCTGGAACTGAAGCCATAGTTACTAACCGTCTTGCATCGTGCGGGACGGTCCTGTATTTCAAAGTGATTTTGGATGAAACACGCATTTTGCAGAAACACATGCATGATCATAAATTTGTCCCACATTTAGCACAAGTCTATGCGTGATAATGATCTTATCAGGAATTCTGGGGAAAATGTATTTTTAAAAAAAAGTTGGTCTTATAATACAAATCCATAGGAACAGTCATGCAACAGCTTGAGTCATTAAAAAGCTTTTGTTTATCTCGTTCGAGAATCAATTCACCGAGAAAATTTTTCCATACCAAAACAACAGCCAACCACACACTTCATTGTCACAACCAACTGTTGATTATGTGACTGGAACCCAGGCCCCCACCGGGGTTCTGCCCTGGAAAACGGGGATCCGGCGGCCTCCCCACCCCCATTCAGTCATGCATTTCAAATCTCTCAGGTTGGTAACTACGTGAAGCTGACAAGTTTTCAATCAAGTTGTTGTAGTCGACAGATCCTCATGGTTAAAATATTATCCCACTTGGCTTCTTTTGAATATTATATGTCTCAATTAAATGGCTTCTCTCATCATCACTGTTTTTCTGTGTCGGGCTGCGAACGGAATAATAATTCTCATTTCCACTATGGTGCCAGCGCGTGTCTTTTCATGAATCCAGACAACCACCCTTCGCTTGCCTTAAATTCTTTAGGATCGCCTGCGCCCTCTTGGTCATGAATGTCTTTCCAGATCATTTCTGCTTTTTGAGCGATTGTCCTTCTTGAAACTCTAGTACCTTTTCTTCTCATGTCATCCACCCAAAATACTAAATTTTCATCCAGCCGTTCACTAAGAAGCTTTCTACCGGCGCCAGCCATTCGTTTCCTGTTTCCCGATACAACTTCCAAATCAGGCTTTTGTTTACACCATTCACGAATTTGCTTTCGATCTACCTTGTACTTTCTGGCCGCTTGCGTTTTGTTATTTTTTTCGGCATACTCAATTGCTTCCAACTTAAAACTCGCAGAGTAGCTTTTCTTTACTTTTCCCTTCCCACTAGTTCTAGCAGTAGTAGCCCTAGTCGTAGTATCATGGGCTTGTAACGTTGTAGGGCTCTCCTCACTCATTTCGACGTTCGTGCTAAAGTTCATGCTAAAGCAACATCTCAACGATAGTGCTTGTTGAGTACGTGAAACGACGAAAAAAACCTGGTTTTCCTCACGCAGATTTACAGGCTTCTTACCTTCTACGTTTAGCGTGGTTTAGGTCTAGTATTGTTCTGCATCCTCCCCCGGTCACTGGTTAATTACCATATCAATGCATTAGGGGTTTCAGAGCATGCAGCCTAGGGCGCTAATTAGAATCAGAAGCTTCTCGGGTGGGCGTTTAATGCAAAGGCCATGGACGCTAGTGGGCGCTAATTAAAAACGCTCGATGTTTTTCAGTATTATACGTCTCCATATGATTTCATTCCATTTATTTTTAAACACAAGTACATTTAGTTTCAATAGTGTGCATGTTATTTTCTAAGTCTATATTGGCTTATGAACTTGTTTATTCATTCATTCATTTATATATATAGGTGGATGATAAGACTGTGTCACCATGTATTTCACCGAATACCGATAGACTTTCGATCAATATCCTAAAATCATATAACATAATTATGTTATTCATTCATCAATTCACTCACCACTTGTTTATTCATTTATTTATTCATTTATTCTTTCTTTCGTTCCTTCGTTCGTTCCTTCGTTTATTCGTACATTCATTCATTCACCAAAGTCATCATCAATATTTTATTGTAATTAAAATAAATAATTAAAATATTGTACATTACCATTACGTCACGAATAAGCCTTTACAAATACATGTACAATAAAAAGTGAAAGAAAAAACAATGTTTTTACTAAAAGAAAATTCGCCTAAAACTGTTATCTTGTAATTTTTTGCATTATTTCGGTAAATGTTATATCCATGTTTTTACTTAATAGTTTTAGTTATATCTAATTTATTTAATATTGCACAACGGTGATACAATGCACAAACGATGATTCATTGTGTACTGAACTTAATACCACACCTTTCTTAGTGTAGTTCCTTTGGGTGTAGTTTCTAAGAAAGCATGCTTAGTGTTATACCGGTTAACTATAATATGGAGTAGGACATTATCAAATAGACAGTGAAGGGTCATCATTATATTGCCTTTTTTTACACACTACTACTGTTGTATATGTTATTATTATTATTATTATTATTATTATTGATAATAATAATCATAGTATTATTATTATTATTATTATTATTATTAGTTTTCTCAAGGCAGCGAGATAGAGCTATAAATCAATAAATGAATGAATAAATAAATAGATGAATAAATAAATAAATAAACAAATAAACAGATTTCCTTGATCCTTTCAAACTAAATAAACATACCAACAAAATGAGCATCCTCGATTAAACAACCGTAAAACTCATCATACTGTAGGATGATAAAGTCATGTAGTTTTTACCATGGCGATATTATTATTATGCAGCGTTCTTG